TCAAACAACACTGAAGCATCTCTATCACAAACCAGAACCGTACCTGTGAAACCGCATCTGAAGCCTCTGACTCGGGCCTAGCCTGAAAAGAGCATACATCGAAGCGGCCCCCACCACTCTGATTACCTCTCTGGACGGCCGTTGCTGGCTGCCTCCACCTCTGGCGTTCTAGCTCCACCTATATGACCTTCTACCTCCACCTCTAGTACCTCTACCCGCTTCTAGCTGGTGGGCGCATGTGAACATCTGTTACCTGAATCATAGGACGGGGCCTGCTGCTAAGAATGCTCGAGCTCGAGACGGCAATAACTAGCAAATTGCCTCGTTGTTCGCCACAATAAAAAAAGCCCTCTGCTGCCTGATTCTGGCCCTTGTCACGAATGACCACCACCGAAACTCTTGAGCGCGGCGCACTGATAGGATGGCGGACGAATGGCTCTGATCAGAATAATGCCCGCATGGAAACCACATACTGGAAGTACCTGAGACCTGGAAGGGCTGGACTGAAAAGGCCTTGAAGGTGACCGCCTATCATAAGAATCTCTGCCTCCGATGAAGGCCACCACTGAATCGGCCTGGACTGACGGTCTCTTGTCTGCTTATGACCACCCCCTGGCCAATCCATCTCGATCCTCCCGGGTCACATTTGGCCGCCCTCCTGAAAATGATGTCAACTCCCCGCCTCTCTATCCATTTGGGAGACGAATAGGCTGAATGAGTTCCGTCAATAACAGCCGTTCACTCATCTCCCTCGCAAAGGGGGAGGATGACAATAGCATGGCGACCAACTCAATAAACCTGTCTCGTACTGGGTGACCGACATGGATCCCTGATGGAGACGCTCGAACTCCTCCGATAGGCCTCACGCTGGTGATAGAGAAACTTCTCCAGAAACAACACTGAAAAACTGATCCCATGTCAAGGCTGGAGCCCTGCTGTTTCTAGCTAAACAGAAATCCCGTCCACCAAGTTCTGACGGATCCCAGATAGGCAAAATGCAAGCAAAGTCCACTCCATTGGACCTCAACAAATTACCATTGTTGCCGAAAACCTCGTGGCAGCTTCCCAAAATAATTCCTGAGGAATCCTGCTAGATGCACCGCTAAAATATATGAAGAGTATTGTGTGAACCTATCCAACCTCCATAAAGCATCGGCTGGACATAAGCTGCCCCATCAGCCGGCCTAGGCTACCAACACCCCGGCTGAGCTGGTCCAACATGGATGAACGTGGAGCTTCTGAATCGGCGGAACTCCCTGCTCGAAGTAAGAGTAGCAGGAGTCTGGCCCGTCCTCAGCCCGAGAGACGGCTGGGTGCTACAGGAAGCAAACCTGCTCGGGTGACACTCTCCATGAGGTCGCCCACCAATCCGGACTAGGCATCCTGAAGAACTAGGGGGTAGTAATAAAGCCCTCTGGACCTGAGCTGCGCCCACCGGAACTGCTGGGGCGGGGCCGGAACCTCCTTGTCAATGTCAAGCCTTGAGGCTCCTCCACTTGGTTGCTTGGTGTTGGAATGCTGCTCGGACTAGCTCCGGCCCCTACCTCGGCCTCTAGCACAGCCTCGGCCTCGCTCTCCCTCCCCTAGCGGCTGCTGTCTGGGGCTCGAATGCTAACGAAAGGATGAAAAGGCGTGTTTTCGCCATCTGCGAAAGTAATAGAGTAGAAATTTAACTTTAGCATTGAGAAACCAAACGCGACGACAAGAAAGAACAAATGTGAAACTTTTCTTAACTCGGAGCCTCTGGGGATAATACAGACGTCTCCCGTACGATCCTCAAACTCTACTAAGCTTGTCGTGATTGTAGACCTATGTAACCTAGAGTTATGATACCAACTGATCACGACCCCGGAATTCCCACCATCAGGGAGTCGTATGGCGCCTACTCGTAGAAGCTAAGGCAAGCCAAATTTTTAATTACTTTCCGTTTAGCACATTAATCCATTTTAACATATAATGGTGCAACAAATAAAAAACAATGAAATTAAAATTAGTAGCGGAAGTCTAATTTAGAAATGAATCAACATGCGAATTAGTCAATATATCCTCTATCCCAAAGACTGTTGTCACAATACTCACGACTCTAAGAAATACTAAACACAAACATCTGAAAGAACATACAGCTGTTTGTCTTGAATACATGAGCAACAGGCTTAAAAGAGAGAATAAGGGAGACGCGCGGGCTTGCGGACGCATGCAAGGCTTACCTCGGGTCTCACCGACTGAAGGCCTACTCCCGTACTTAATGCTACTGCTGCTGCTGCTCGAAACCTGACCTGTAATAGCACAGAGTGTAGCCAGCACAACTGACCCATGTGCTGGTAAGTGTCGGCCCTAGACCCCGGCGAGGTAGTGACAGAGGCTAGGACAGACTTCCAGATAAAACTGTGTGACATATATAGTACACAGTAAGAACACGGAAACATAGCAACAAATAACATATAACGGGAAGGAATGCTTTATAGTGGGTGACCGATAGAAAACAAAATAAGGGAATATATGGTCACTAAATCTACAGTTTAACTCTAACAATAATGACAAAAGAATAACGCAATTTCATATTCAAACTGATCTTGTTGCACGTTGCAACCGATTCATTCCCAATTACTCGTGACGACAACGCTCCACATCTTCAATGTCACAGCATACCACAACGTGACCCATTCGACAGTCAACCTGTAGGCGTACACCCTCCCATTTCAATATATATACTTTGGTAAGGTACTTACTCCCATATCTAATAATCATTAGGTAGCGACACTCAGCTCCCCCATTTACTATATCAATTTGTGCTAGAAGCGTTACCAGCAATCAAGCTTCCCATTTCAAATACATTTGTGGTAGGCTACCTACCGCTCTCCATTTCAATATCAATGGTAGGCGTACACCGTTCCCATTTTACTTCCTTGTGGTAGCGTACCACCGCCTTCTTCACACAACAAATAAATCCGCAGGGGAAAACAACAATAATATCTTCCGGGACAAGGAAACAATAAACCAAGTCAAACATCCCAACGGAGGAGCACTATAACAATTTAAACTAGGACAATAATACTTATCACAACGTTCATAGGATCAACAGGTACACAAATAAATTAAGATTCAACGGCATGTTGACACTGGAGAATGATACCAAACACCATGCATAAACGTATACCTCAAACAATACAATTATAAACTCAACTCCTAATCCTCAAGCTAGTGTTCAAACCATACACGTTACCCGATTTATTATGAACTCAACTCAAGCTCAACATAGACTTATCACCTACCGCAGATCACTCCACAATTTCAAATTCTACGCATAATTATAGTTACTTACTAAACACTAAATGAAATCAATTTGAATGCATAAAAATAAATTTTCCAAGTTTTTTCCCAAAAATTCCAAATCGCCCCCGGGCCCACGAGGTCAAAACGCGAAGTTCGAACCAAAACCCGGTTACCCATTCCCCCACGAACTCAAATATGTAATTTGTTTTGAAATCGGACCTCAAATTGAGGTCCAAATCCCCAATTTTTGAAAAACCTAGGTTCTACCCAAAACCCCCAATTTAACCTATGAAAATCCTTGATTTTAAGTGGAAAACATGTTAAATGATGTTAATGAATGAAAGAACTGAGTAAAAATTGACTTACAAATGATTTGGAATGAAACTTGTTCTTGAAAAATCGCCTAAGGAGTTGTATTTAGAAAGTGGGGTGAAAAATGGCCTAAAATTCGATTAAGTATGAAAATTGCTGGGCTGCAGATATGGGAATTGCGAACTGGGGTTCGCAATTGCGAACCCCGACCAAATGTGGGAATTGCGAACACTTGTTCGCATTTGCGAACTATGAGGAGAATTGGGGACTTCGCATTTGCGAACCATAAGGTCGCATTTGCGAAACCCCAGCCTTCGCATTTGCGAGGCTCAACTTCGCATTTGCGATTGGCTTCAGGCCTGGCAATTCTCGCATTTGCGAGCAGACCTTCGCAATTGCGAGGTCGCATTTGCGAGCCAATTGCGAAGCCTGCAGGTCAGTTATAGCAGTAAAATTCCCAAGGTTAAAAATGCACTCCGACACCTATCCAAAACTCACCCGAGCCCTCGGGGCTCCAAACCAAACATGCACACAACCTCAAAAACATCCTACGGACTTACTCGCGCGATCAAATCGCAAAAATAACATCATATACATTGAATTAAGCCTCAAAATCCATGATTTCTTCCAAATTCTCATAGGACATCAATTTTCCATTTTAAGTCCGAAACACGTCAAACGACGTCCGTTTTCAACCAAACTTTACAGAAAGTGCTTAAACCATATATAAGACATGTACCGGGCGCTGGAACCAAAATACGGGCCCGATACCATAGTCTTTTACACAAATTTCATTTTCATTTTCCTTAATCGTTTCCAGAAAATAATTTCACACAAAAATTTATTTCTCGGGCTTGGGACCTCGGAATTCAATTCCGGGCGTACGCCCAAGTCCCATATTTTCCTACGGACCCTCCGGGACCGTCAAATCAGGGGTCCGGGTCCGTTTGCCCAAAATATTGACCAAAGTCAAATTTAATCAATTTAATATCAAAACTTAGCATTTTTCTCACAGAATTCATATTTAAGCTTTCCGGCTACGCGCCCGGACTGCGCACGCAAATCGAGGCAACCCTAAATGAGGTTTTCAAGGCCTCGGAAGCACGGAATGAGTAATAAAATAGGTGATGACCCTTTGGGTCGTCACATTTAATTTCCTAATGGACATGCTTAACTATTATTTCTAATACTCAATATATAAGGAAAAACTTAATTCCAAGCTAGTAGCTTGATTCTCAGAATATTGAATCGTGTAGTTGCATCCTCAAATAATTCAAATTCACAAGGAGAATCTTGAGTTCGTGTCTAGTTCAGCTCCACTGATCCCAAATAGATATACTTATTGATTAGAAAAAATTATAAGAAAATACACATGACTTCACATTATAGTAAAAAAAGCTCATGTTTTTAAGTTTTACCAAATCTAGCCCATATTGTACATATTTTGAAAACAGTAGTTCTTGCAAATTCAATATCTGTGTTCTTACAACCATTGCTTCTAAAAGCTATGGAGTTAAATTTGTGTTTTCACAACCATTGCTTTCACTCTCTCTTCTTCTCACATCGTTTACATATGCTTCAAGGGGCTGTCTGCTTCTCCCCCTATGTCACCTAGTTGCAATGTAAAAAATTTGAAGAGTAGAAGTCCACCATTGAAGGCCATTCAAAAGCTTTACTTTCGAAAATAGGACTTTTTGAGTTTGTTAGTTGTTTGGGTTGGGTATTGTTCCAATTGATTGAAAATATCAAAAGGAGTTCAAAATTTAAATTTGAAGTGATTTGGAGTGGATTTGAACGAGATTTGAGTTAAATTTCAGAAAAGACGCAAGAAAGAAGACGAAGTTAGTTTTTTGTATAATTATGTATAATCTTGTATAATAGTGTATATGAGTGTATAAATAATCTTATACACTTTTATACACCTTTATACAAACGTCTGTAGACGAACTTCTTCCACGATTTTCAGTTGCAATTCTTGTTCAAAACCAGTCCAAATCTCCATTAAATGACTTCAAATTTTATATACAACCTCCTTATACT